GACCCCAAATGAGAATACCATAAGAAATAACTGAGTGAAATAATCCGTAGTAGGCTCTTTTCAGCGTCATCAAGGTGACCACATCGTTCAGTCGCCTCAAAACGAACAAAACAGTAGAAAGTTTTCTGAGCATAGCTTTGATATGATCAGACCAGCTCATTCTATGAACAATAGTGAATCCCAAAAACTTAACACTTTTAGATTGGGGAATATTGCGATTGGAAGATATGATTATATTTTGAGTTTTATCTTTATTCGAGGTGAGTTTGTTAGCAGCAAACCAACTGTAAGCTAATGTTTTGCTATCTTCCATCATTAGTTGTAAGCTAGTTAAGTCTTTACTAGAGCACATTAAAGTTGTGTCGTTTGCAAACAAGATACAACATGCTGGTTTCATGAGGCTGCATAGGTCATTGATGTAGATCAAGAACAATACTGGAGCTAAAAGGGATCCCTGAGGAAGACCATGCTTCTTTTCTTTGAGGTTTGACTTTACGTTGTTCACTTCAACAAATTGGCACCGATTTGTTAGATAAGATTGGCCGAGCTTGAGAGCTGTGCCCCGACACACGACACAGTAGAATATATATTTATTGAGATAGGGAGCTACAAAACATTAATATAGACAAATCTTTTGAAACAACCTAATACTAATGCATTTTCACTTATAGGTGACCTACTAAAATAAACCTCTTCCACCAGGAGATTAAAGTTAGAAGCACCTCAATCTGAAATCTTTATTTTCTTATAATCTTCCATCAACGTTTTGATAAGTCTGAGATTTTTTTTTATTTACTGTGAAATTATAAATACAGTAAGTTAACTTATCATCTTTGTAATACATGACATGAAAAGCATTGGAATAGTTCCAGCATATGGGAGTATCCTCCTCATTATAAAGTATACTTTTACAGGTGATGAACTATTTAACACTGTTGCCTGAATGAATATTGTCAGCATCAATGCCTTCTAATTTTTACGTTTCATATTGGTAAAAAATTTCAAGTACTGTACCATGGAAGATACCTAGTTGTTATTGGAAAACATACCTGTACATCGCCACAAGTATTCAATCCTAAATTTTTAAGTTTATGNGTTGCCTGAATGAATATTGTCAGCATCAATGCCTTCTAATTTTTACGTTTCATATTGGTAAAAAATTTCAAGTACTGTACCATGGAAGATACCTAGTTGTTATTGGAAAACATACCTGTACATCGCCACAAGTATTCAATCCTAAATTTTTAAGTTTATGTAAAGTGGCTCTTCCAACGCCTGGTAGATCAGAGAGGGGAATTTCTGACATGTAGAATTCAAGGTTGCTAGGTTGCAAATGGTATTGACCTGCAGGTTTGGCTTTACGAGTAGCTAATCTTGCTTGAAGACGGTTAGCTCCAAAACCTAATAAGGAAACATGAATTTCATTCCATGTGAAAAAAACTATAAAAAATAAGTATAGAGAATGTTGTTATGAATAAAGTGTCTATAAAACCAGATACAGATATTTTGTTTTAGGCAATACTATTTGAGATGGAAAAAAATTAATGTTTTCATTTCAAAAACACAAAATAATCTTGATTTTGAATTTGATGATCTAAAACTTACCAGTGGAAGAGGGGCATCCAGTAGCTGACATAATTTCTTGCCTTATATGAGTGGCCCATTCGTCTACGGTTAGTCCTGTTTCTTTCAGAATACCTGTGACGTCTACGAACATTTCATCACAACTTACTGCTTCAATATCTAAAGTATATGAAGCAATGGTCCTATATAATATATTTGATACTTCTTTGTAGCCCTTGAATAAAAAATGGAAAATGACTAATATTCAGAAATAATAGTTTTATATACAGCTGTGGCTGAATACACCAAGAATACCTTTTTAATGTTACGTAATTTCACCAAGACACCTTTATAAAAAGATATTTTTATGTTTTATTATCGTTAAATCTGCAGGCTGGAATAATTTGTTCAATCTGTTATGATTTAAAGTGAAATTCAACTGAAATATAAATCCGGGACAAATGTCCCTTTTAAATCATAAATTTCAAATGATGTTTTTAAATAATGAAACTTTTTCAATAGTGTCTTTAATATGTGCTAATTTCTTTATTAAAACAAACAAAGAATTTTCCTAACTCTTCAAGGAAACAACCTGAGATGAGGTCTATGAATATAGAAAAATGTGTTCCGTCTTTACCTCTCGTTTGAATCTAATTTCAATTGATTATTACTTTTTTTACCCTGGTGTTTTCTAAAAGCAATGTCTTTTTATTCGATTCAGTATCCAGATCGCGATATTACTGTGCTTTTATGACTATATTGAGCATCCCCTATAGGTATACGATATTGCATTAAAAACAGTCGAGAGTGCCAGAGAAGCAGTCAGTCACTGAAATTCTTAAGATAAGCAAAGTTTGATTCAGTTGAAAGTATTTGCTCTCTCTATTTATCAAAACCATGCCAAAAGGGTAAAAAGTGCAATCTCAAATTTTGCAATCTTCTCATGTCAACACTCAGTGTCTATCACGAGCAAAAAATTCGTGAATCATAATATAGTTCTTAGTCTGTCCATTTCCATTGCTTGCTTCTAACGAATTATGATCCATGAAAAGTTATTCTAGGTTTACTATTGCTAACTTTGACAACGGTTGCCAAATTTCAGAAAAACTCTTCAAGTTTTACCAATAGAAAGGGGACTCTCATATCACCCAAACTCTCAGCCCCTTTTGCTACAATTTCTTTATAAAACAATTATTGGCAACACCTGTTTCATGAACAGTGCAATACAATGTTTATCAAATACGAGATGGTTACTGGAATATTTGGAAAAGAATGAATACATGAAAGATATCAAAACTAATATTTCTCATACGGAGGATGCTTTAATAAAAACTTTCGCAGAAGTTATCAAGGAATTGTGGTCGTCAGAAGATTCATCTGATAGAGCAGTGAACACAGTCTCCTTAAAAAGTCAGATTCAGAGTTTTGTCCCTCGATTCATGGGTCATGCTCATCAAGACGCCCATGAGTTCCTTCGTTATCTTTTAGAAGGATTACATGATGACGTTAATATAATTATTGAGAAACCTAAACCGACCTTAACGGAGATTAACGAAAAATTGAGCGACAGAGAAAAAGCGCAAGAGTCATGGCTGATTTATTTGAGTACATTTAACTCTAAGATTGTAGATAATTTCGTTGGTCAATTAAAATCCACGATGAAGTGCACACATTGTGGAGACTCATCTGTAACCTTCAATCCTTTCTGGGATTTGTCACTCCCCATACCACAAAGAACTGGCCAATTGAATTTATCACAGTGCTTGGATTTATTCACAAGAGAGGAAACTTTGGATGGACATGAAAAGCTGACGTGTTCAAGTTGCCAGGAAAGAAGAAAATGCACAAAGTCTCTATCGATCCATAAGTTTCCCCATATTTTAGTCACTCATTTTAAGATTTTCTCAAACAGAAAGATTTAGAGGCAAGTTAAATGTTGCCATCGAATTTCCTCTAGATAGATTAAACATGAACAATTATGCAGCACAAAATGTGACTCCTTGTCGTTATAATCTATATGCCCTTTTGAATCACATTGGATCTACCTACAGCGGACATTATACAGCATTCTGCAGACATCCATATACTGGCACGAATACAATGATTCACATGTGTCACCAATTTCACCAAAGATTTATGTTATATTATATGTTAATTTACGACTTCAAAAAAAATTATGAGAGATATCATTTGAATAGTAAAAAAGTTACTTATAATGATTTGAAAATATAATTTTTTTTATTGTACTCCACTTTTCATTCATTAAATGAATTATTTTTATATTCATTTCCGACTATAGAATAATGTTAAAAATGTTTTAATCACACATCAAACAGATGCCTTGAAATAAAATTCTTGATAGGAATGAGAACTCTTTAACAAAAATCATTCTTTTAGAAAATTGAAATCAGATATATGATTTTTAATAGTTAACCGAATATTTGACATCTAAATTCAATCTGATTGGAAATGTCTTTGTTTCATTCTGATCATAAAAACTGAAACAGGAATTGTATGTCAACACACAGTAAATACCTCAAAATCATAGGGGAGGGTATTCAGATTTGGACAAAGCTTCACTGCCTGCCCAAGAAACATTCCATTTTTCACTCCACATTTTCTAGCCTCATAACTACAGCTGGCTATCTCTGACATACTGGACTGGGTATCTAATTTATCTACTCGTGAAATTGCACCCAGTGGTAATTGGTCATAGTACAAAGCAAACTCCTGCTTTCTGTTAGCTTCTTGTTCTGGCCTAGTATTAGTTAACTGACCCCTACGAGCATGAGTAATAGCAACAGGTTTACCTCTAAGGTCTGGGTTATTTCTGAGACCAACCGAAACAAAAAAACAGTCCATATCTATGTGCATTATTATGATGTCAGATATTGAATTTGCTGTTGCATTTCCTAAAAATAAGAACAATTTTGTCTTTTTCTATTCATTGAAAATGAATAGTTAGTTTTACCTTCTTCTTTAATATGTTATTTACTTCATTGAACTGAATAAATGAAATGAATCGATACCTTTAGTCAAAAGCAACTTCTCTTTCCCTGGAAATTGGCCATTAGATTTCAGCCGCATTTCTCCAACCAGTTGTTTGAACTCAGCTCCAAGAGTAGATATCAGATGAAGTCTGGAATTACTATAGAATTCTTCTAGAAATTTGGGATCTGAGGCCGTTTTTACAGAAAGTTTATTACTTTGATTTGACCTATTTTTTAAAATATTGGATTCATCAGAAATGTCCACTTCCTCTTTCATATACACATCATTTGTATCAAGATGACTTGCAATCTTGCAAATGTTTTCAACTGGCTTATACTTATCTTCTTTATTTTCATACATATCCATTGATTGCTTCATATCTGTATTAATTGAACTAAGAGTTTGAACCTTGTGAACATCTTTAACTGAATCAACTATATTTTCCTCAAATTTACTTGAAACTTTTGCCTCGACTTCTTCCACACTTGAATGTTTTTCGACAACAGGAAATACTATTTTTGGTTGAGTCTTACTTTGATTTGTATAAAGTAAATATCTTTGATACTCTAAAAGTTTTCCCATAGAAATACTATCGGTAATCCAAGCGGGCTTGACAATTGGCACTGATCCTAGGTGTTTTATCTGAAATGAATATGAAAGTGTATTTAGTGAACCAATCAGATTATTGATTAAAGTATTGAGTAGTCAATAAAATCAACATGGACATTTTGAAATATTGCAATTATTCAACACTTTTTACAGGTAAAAGTTGTTGAATGATTCAAGATTTATGTTGGGATCATTGGGATTGTAACTAACCCTTGAGATGGTTTCAAACTTCAAGTTTCAGATGCTGAAGTTCATTAGCACGTTTGTAGCAGTGACGTTAGAACTATTGATAATGTTTAAATCTAAAGGGAGAGATCAGTTTATGGGAAAGAAAGATTTTTTGCTTTCTGTGTCTCCATTATTATACAAAAAATGTGGGAATCTTCTAGAAGAAAGCAAAATAAACTCTTTACAATGATGTGTAGTCCATGCATAGAAGTTTACTTACAGGTACTAACTGGAGGACAGTTTTTCATTCATTGCGTTAAAGAGATATAAGTGTGGTATGCTTTGGGGTTGTGTATTAGTTTAGATTTTATTTATACACTGCATTAACAAACTGATTCTGTTACCAATTTTAGGTTGGTAGCCGGGCGGTTCGGAGTGGGTGCTTTGTTCACTCTGTCAATCGGCCGATGTGTGAGTCGATGGTTCAAGCCGCGGGCTAAAAGCTTGATTTTCACTTGCTATCGTCCAACCCGTGTTAGGGATCACACGTTAAAAAGAAGGCCTCGTTAGTGCAAGTTTCGACTTTTGAGGGTTGTCGTTCGTAGGGGTGCAAAAGCTGATTAACAAAAAAAAAAATATACATAACATATATACATATTGTTTCTTGACGATATCACATTGTTATGGCATTTTAATGCACATTGCATGAAATAATGCATATTGACGTGATTAAAATTGAGTCAAAAAGACCCATTTCCAAATGTGCAATGTTATATGTGTGTGGGAAAATGAATAATTGGAAAAAGAGCTCTGCCAAATTTTTAGAGATATGTGTACATAAAACATGTAGGTACAAGAAACATCAACGACCAAGTTATAAGAAGATTTGTCCGTGTTTACTAGTGGTGACCTGGTGACTGACTAGTGTGCCAACTTGAATGTGAATCTAAGTTTAAAAAACCAATGTAAAATTTTAACTTCTGGTTGTCAATAGAGTATCATCCCCCTACATGATTATACCTTAACATTTGGCAGATTGGAAGCTATGATATGTGTTGTACTCGAAACTTGATAACCATGAAACAGCCCTCCATGGGCAGCCATTAGATCTTTCAGTTCATTCATTGGTGGTTTTGTGAGACCATTAACATGGATGGCAATTCCTTGAAAAATGTTAGAGACTTGTTTAACTTCAGACTCCCGAAACTGCTCTAAAAGTTTGGCTCGTTTGGCTTCCATATAACCACCCTGGAAAGTTATGGAGGCTTTTAGTTAATTTCTGAATTCAAAATTCAGATAAACATATACCCAATCTCCGAATCCCATTTCTTCATCTTCAGTCTTTTTATTTTTTTTCTTCCTTTGACCGATTTCCTCCCTAACCATGATAAATGTTTAAATATCCCTACCCAATCTAGAATTTCAAATTCGTTCTCAATTTCAAATTCAAAATAAAGATGTTTTCTGGCGTTTAACTTATTCGAGCTTCGAGCATGTATTCAAAACCGATTCGTAGTAACGTCATTAATAATAACTTGGTGTACTCTTTGTTAACAAAATACTGTGCTTTGTTATATCACGCTCTTTGGTCATATCATCATATTATGACAAATCAAATTTCAAATTTTTCACATGAAAATATGCAACACATAAAACATCGTGACGTTGTATCTGACGTTAAGTGTCTAACGTTGTAGTGTCAATGCATGGACAAATGAGATCCATGAGTCAATGTTCTCTTTTCACTGACCAGTCCATATTTATTATTACGTCACGTAATCTGTAATGAACCCTCTGAGTAATGAGCATGACAAACAACTAACCTCAGAATCAAGATTACCACATGATACTTTATATATCTTTATCACAGTATTTTGTATATACAGAAATACTGTCTTTATTATATATTCCCAGAGACGGATTAACCTTAAGGCAGAGTAGGCAACTGCCTAGGATCGACAGGGGCCCACTGCAGCCCGCAAAAAAAAGTTTTATGGATCGAAAATGATAATCAACAATACTATTCTTTTTTTTTTCAACGCATGTAACACTTTATATATACAGAACCATCTAGTATCTAATATTAGAAGTAATATAATCCTTTGTAACGCAACTGGACTTCATTTACGTTGGGGGAATCCCTGATTCGTTGGGTGCGTTCTGTAAGCTTCCGTAGCGTGATAATAATGTGTAGCGTAATAATTCCAAAACTTTCGAAATACGTTAAGTACAATATGTGAGTTTTGCGATTTTAAGGTAAATTTAAAAAAGTTTTAGTGTGCTCCGTCTTTGAAGACTTACGATTTCCACATACACCAAAAGTATTTAAAAAATTCGGAACGCAGCGAGTAGGCGGACTGTTTATGTCGTTTTACGTTGAGGAATTTCCCGATTCGTAGGATGCTATCAGGAGCGTTTTACGACAGTGAATTGAAAAACACTTTATGCTTTGTGTTTACTCTGAATAGGAGTAAAGTATTAGTTCTTTTTATGAACATTGTCCTGAAAACTTAACGAGAGAATAAATCATGATTGGTTCGGACGATCAAATCAAAGAGGCTTCTACAAAATTTTGTGAGCATTATTCTGAGGACATTGAGCATGAATTCATACACGAGATGGTACAGTTCAAGTACTTCGTCTTACAATTGCAGGATGCCGGGAAAGATAACATTGTAGCTGCTGAAGAATCGTATAAATTGATCCTTAATAATATGGCTCAATCAACTTTCCCAAATGGTATGATAGCATTGCAAATTTATAGAAGTTTGATGATCACAAACGCGACAGGAGAACGAAATTTTTCAAAATTGAAATTATTAAAAAATTCTCTTCGAGCAACAATGTCTCAACATCGCTTAAATTCATTGTCGATAATGGCAATTGAAAATGATGTATTGGAAAAGGACTTAGGGCGGAATCAAACGTACACGTAGGTACTCTACTCGTGGGCTGCGCGGGTGACTCTGTGCTAACAGCCAACCCACGTTGAGCACGCATAGAGCCTGCGTATGTCTGAACTCGCCCTTAGGACGTCATCCATGCCTATATCGAGAATTGCATTCAGGAATGTAGGTAGAAAGCAAAAAAATACGTCACATGATTTAGTCAGTCAGAGTAGGTAAAGAAAAGGGGCCCGAAAATTGTATTGCCTACAGGCCCATACAGGGTTGATCCGGCTCTGTATATTCCTTTATATAAGAACACACATTTTGGTGAATCAAATATTTAAAACTAATTGTCAAATGATGAGTTTCAAGATATTACAGAATTATCACTAAAAATGTATCTTGTCAATTCGATTTCTTCGTTTCTTGCAATCTTGCAAAT